ATACAAGAAGAAGAAAAGTTAGTATGGCGATTTCAGATAACACACAGGATCTAGAAGACCCACCTGCTTCTTTTCAATCAGCTGTGTGGGAACATTTCGGGTTATTTTTTCATGATTTTGACACTTTTCGGAATAGTGACTTTTTTTCAGTTTCCGAAATGTTTCTCAAAATTCTGACTTCATGAATACTGACTTTTTTCTCTGTTCCAAACTCAATGTCTTCTTAATTCAACATAAATATTTAGCCATTCAGAGAAATTAATATTAGAAAAAATCAAAACTTGTCATAATAAATTCATAACATATTATTAGAGTAATGCAACAATAACAAGTTGATATGAATTCTTCAACACCATGATTATGATGTTTTACTTGATGACCAGTTTATAGATATTTAGTTGAACGGTAAAACACTGGAACCAACATTTTTCGGAGTGTTCTTTTTCTGTATAAATATACCCATGTTCCCCCCTCACTACTAATGCATAGATCTGTAAGTGGTTAACAATTTGTCAAAGTCTATTTTTCTAGGTTGCATTTGCTTTAGTTTTGGTCAGTGCTCCTGCAAAACTTGATAATCTGTTGCTCTCCGCCAAACTTCTGTTGCCAAACCTTCGTATGTCATCTTTTTACAATAATTCATCCAATGTGAAACTTCCACATTCTCAAAGCAGCTACACATCAGGAGGATTGATAACTTAATGAGGCGGAAATGTTTGAACAGCAGGTGTAATTAATAACACAATGGCTGCATGTTGGTTCAGGTGGTTACGGGGAAATAGCCATCATTAATGTAATGAGTTCCACCTGTGCTGCTCCTGCTTGGAAAAATCAGCAGCTCATTAAATAAATTATTCTCTGTCTTCTTTAACTTTGAAAAGCTCCAGTGGGTTATTTTAGAGCAGACATACCTGAACAGTGAGGTCACTTCTGCTTCTGGATGCTCTCCATGGAAACTGATCAGTAACTTAACGCTGCACATTTAGTTTAAATTACCTTCACAAGGTTTTACATATTTACCAAAAGCTGCTAGTTAGATTTATTAACTAGTTTTGGAATATTGCTTTTATTAGCTCTGGGTAATTATTAAAACCTCAAGTCACAGAGAAAACTGACATCAGCATCAGCAGAGCTCAAAGTAGAGGAAAGAAAACCCAAACCCGAGGACAAACAACGCGTTTTCATGACTTTAATGTCTTCTTAATGTAATAGAGTGGTGCAGTGACGAGTCCTAAAACCAGGAAGGGAGTCAGCATTTCACCACTTCCTGTTCCCTCGTCTCAGAGCCAATGGGATCTCTCCATAGGCTCTGGAAAATAGCTGAAATAAGGTCTGTGGTTGAGACAAAGAGACGGATCACGTGTTGTTCTAGGACATTAAATCCATCAGCAGTGACCCCACTGGTGATTTCTGAAGAGTTGACGTGTCTGAAAAACGATGGTTGTTACCAAGTGGCTGAATAGGACTACAGAAGTTGTGGAGGACGTTGTACGTCATTACGCCGAACACGTAAACACTCCTCTAAGTTAGCTTGCCCTGTTCTGCTTGAAAGCAAGTACCTGCCTCCTGCAGACTGTTCAAACAAACGCTTCAACTCGTTCCATTTAGAATCTGTGTGTTTGAATATGGATCTGAAGTCGGCGTGACGTTGAAGTCGTGCTGCTGGACTCGCCTGTAGTTCCTTTATAGCATCACGTTAGCATTTAGCTTCTGGAGATTAGAGTTATGATTAGAACATTATAAAAGTAGGGTAGACGTGTGGAGATGATCCAGCTGAACAAAACGTGCATTTATCAAACAGGTTCGCTTTCCACAGAGCTTATTTCCAGCTCTTTTCCTAAATCCTATGGAGAGATCCCATTGGCTCTGAGACCAGGGAACAGGAAGTGGTGAAAAGCTGACTCACTTCCTGGTTTTAGGACTCGTCACTGCACCACTTTATGGATGGTTGTAAAAAACACATATTTTTTGGTTGATGTTTGGAGCCTCCCCATGACCGAAAATAGTGAAAATGTAGGCCTCTCTGATGGGGCCCGTCTTATCCCCTGTATCTCTGGAGATAATGATCAGAATGTCACCAAATGTGGACTAGATGTTCACAGAGAGGCAAAGTATACAATAAAACAAATGTTTTGTTCGTACATGTTACCATCTTTGTAATATTAACACTGAAACACGCGTGAGTTATAGACGGACATGGGAACATTCTAAATCTAAAAGGTATGTTTATCATTTCTGTCATTATTCCAGAAAATAGTTCAATCAATAAAACATGTAATTTATACGGACCAGAGACTGTTATCTTCTCATAAATATAGTTTTTGACTATTCACTTCCCCCTCTGCTGTCCCCAGCCCCTAAAAGCAAACAGCCAGACACAAAGCACATTTAAACAGTCCCTATTCTCTTTATGTGGTGTAGTGCATGTCAATGGTCTGCAAAGGCTAAAACATCAATACTATACTAAATACATATCCTTAAGGCGAGACCAGACGCTACAGGGAAACAGAACATCCAAAATACACACTTCTGTTTCCATGTAAATCACTTGGTGTATTTATTTCCCCTAATTTCACAAAGTCAGCATCACATAATACCTCAGTTGCTTATTTATAAAAACTTGAAAGTGTTAAAAACTGTAAGTAATGAAATTGGAAGTTAAAGAGGCCCTATTCTGCTTCCTGTGGTGCTCCCTCTCCTGCAGTGTGTTATAAAGGTTTTAGTGCATGTCAATGGTCTGCAAAGGCTCAAATCCAGAGGGAGTTTCTCTTTTCATATGATTTAATTTAACTGTATAGTCTTTTACTTGGAAATGGTGTTATTTTGTAGGTTACTATGTTCCGTTTGTACCATTAACGGAAAAATACAGAAAATGACCTCCATCCACAAACCCACATAACGTCACACAGTAATCATGTTGTGGTTGAGGTTGGTGTGTGTGTGTGTGTGTGTGTGTGTGTGTGTTGTGTGATGAGGTATTGAGAGACTCAGTTGCTGTGTAATCAGCTTCTGTTGTTACTGGAAATCCTTTCTGTGTGTTTCTGTTTGCTCTGTGACGACTTCCAGAACAGCCTGTAATGGGGCCAAATTCCTCAAATCCACAAGGAGGAAAATCAAGAACATGTTCATTACTGCACGATCATAAAACCACACAACTCAAGGACACACAATCACAGTTGGATTCAACATTTAAATCGTTTTAATACTGCTATTTTCTCTCAGCATTGCCCTTTTGGCATTTGACAAACACAAAAGAATACAAAAGACAAGTTTCCCTAAATAAACAGGAAAGGATCAGTTGAAAATATTTCAGACATTTCCTGTTCCTCTAAATGTCCAAAGCAATACAAAGAGTCTTCCAGTTGATATATGCCGAGGGAGAGGAGATATACGAGAGTCTGTGTTTGTACTGGACAGAAAGAGAGACAGAGAAGAAGAATGACGAGTTGATGTTGGACAGGGCTGGAGTGTAGTGCATGGACTACACACACACACACACACACACACACACACACACACACACACACACACACACACACACACACACACACACACACACACACACACACACACACACACACACACACACACACACACACACACACACACACACACACACACACACACACACACACACACACACACACACACACACACACACACACACACACACACACACACACACACACACACACACACACACACACACACACACACACACACACACACACACACACACAATATCAAAGTCTTGTGAGGTGAAATAAAGGCCCTTTTGTTCTAGAAATGCACATCAGCATGTAATATGACACGACAAGATGTCAGGGATGTTGCTAAGGCACGTCTCTGTAAACCTGTTGTACTTTTTTTGCAATTTAAGATTATTTCTCTAGCGAAGAGTACGGTGGCCGACAGGTACTAAAGTGTCCCCTGATCTCCCAGCTGTGTGCGTCACTCTTTAGTGTCCCCTGGTCTCCCAGCTGTGTGCGTCACTCTTTAGTGTCCCCTGGTCTCCCAGCTGTGTGCGTCACTCTTTAGTGTCCCCTGGTCTCCCAGCTGTGTGCGTCACTCTTTAGTGTCCCCTGGTCTCCCAGCTGTGTGGGTCACTCTTTAGTGTCCCCTGGTCTCCCAGCTGTGTGCGTCACTCTTTAGTGTCCCCTGGTCTCCCAGCTGTGTGCGTCACTCTTTAGTGTCCCCTGGTCTCCCAGCTGTGTGCGTCACTCTTTAGTGTCCCCAGGTCTCCCAGCTGTGTGCGTCACTCTTTAGTGTCCCCTGGTCTCCCAGCTGTGTGCGTCACTCTTTAGTGTCCCCTGGTCTCCCAGCTGTGTGCGTCACTCTTTAGTGTCCCCTGGTCTCCCAGCTGTGTGCGTCACTCTTTAGTGTCCCCTGGTCTCCCAGCTGTGTGGGTCACTCTTTAGTGTCCCCTGGTCTCCAGCTGTGTGTGTTACTCTTTAGTGTCCCCTGGTCTCCCAGCTGTGTGCGTCACTCTTTAGTGTCCCCTGGTCTCCAGCTGTGTGCGTCACTCTTTAGTGTCCCCTGGTCTCCCAGCTGTGTGCGTCACTCTTTAGTGTCCCCTGGTCTCCCAGCTGTGTGCGTCACTCTTTAGTGTCCCCTGGTCTCCCAGCTGTGTGCGTCACTCTTTAGTGTCCCCTGGTCTCCCAGCTGTGTGCGTCACTCTTTAGTGTCCCCTGGTCTCCAGCTGTGTGCGTCACTCTTTAGTGTCCCCTGGTCTCCCAGCTGTGTGCGTCACTCTTTAGTGTCCCCTGGTCTCCAGCTGTGTGCGTCACTCTTTAGTGTCCCCTGGTCTCCAGCTGTGTGCGTCACTCTTTAGTGTCCCCTGGTCTCCCAGCTGTGTGCGTCACTCTTTAGTGTCCCCTGGTCTCCAGCTGTGTGCGTCACTCTTTAGTGTCCCCTGGTCTCCAGCTGTGTGCGTCACTCTTTAGTGTCCCCTGGTCTCCCAGCTGTGTGCGTCACTCTTTAGTGTCCCCTGGTCTCCAGCTGTGTGCGTCACTCTTTAGTGTCCCCTGGTCTCCAGCTGTGTGCGTCACTCTTTAGTGTCCCCTGGTCTCCACAGCATGTCTCCTCAAGTTGCTGGAGATGTTTCTGAGTGTGTTTTGGAAAATGTCAGTTTCTATATTTACATATTTTTTGAAAGGGCATTGCATTTCTCCAATTGCAATGTGTTGGCCCGTTTTAACGGGTTTGCACCTGTCGACCATCGTACTATTGTTCTAGAAATAAACATCAGCATGTAATATGACACTCTGTAAACCTTTTGTTTGCAATTTAAGATTCTTTCTCTAAAGGAAAAACTCAAATCTTGTGACGTTCCCAGCACCAGACAGGAAAGAGAGAGCAAATGGATCAGAACGGCACACTGAGCCTGTGCATTTCACAGTCTGGCTGGCTGTAAACAAGCAACAATCCAAACACACGAGGCAGTGCCGGGTAGGAGGCGGAGAGTGGTGTGTGAGAACAAACGTCTAGATCATATCTCAGAAACAACCCAGGAAACTATCGCCTAAAACTCAGTCACACTCGCAGCTCATTTCCTTCGAGCTCTTTGAATTTGCTTTCATCTCTCGGCACGTGTCTGCAGCTTTGTAGGAGTGGCTTCTGTGGTGAAAGGCCTTTGAACACACATTTAGGAACTTTGTCAAAAACAGTCAGAGGCTTTTCTTATGCAGCAGAGAAAATCAAAGTCACTGACTCATGGCAGCTACATTCACACTTCGTCGAACCTCGAAGTAAAGATGACTTGTGTTCTGGTTTTATCTTTAAATTAATGTTTTTTTAGTATATATTTGATAAATGTTAGCTTCTTTTAGTGCTTTTAGCTCAAAAAAAGGTTTCCCTAGGATGCAAATACAAAATTAAAGAATCCATGATGACTGGCAGGCTATTTCAAGGGGGAACAGTTAGTAACGTTTTAACTCACAACCATAGCAATACTGAATGGACCTCGGCAGCAAAAAACAGGATAGAAATACAAAAACAAGAAAACAGAAACAGGGTATCATGATAAACACAAAACGGCCTCCAGTCACAGAGCGATGCAGGCAAAGTCCTTTTTCAATGGCTGTTCATTCAGTCCATTTATCTTTCACAGCAAATTAATCTCCCCAAAGAGAGAATCTTCAAGACGTGTGGAGAGAATTATAGTTAATCCAAAAACACTGAATAATCCAATTTTGCCTGAATTATAGTTTTGTTTGATCTGAGAATGTCCACAGCTACACACAATCCTTAGACCGCTTTTCTTTATGTGACCATCATCAGTCCTGTGGACACTACAGAGGGAAAGAAAGATTTCTTTTCAGTGCAAGTTCTTTTTATAACTCCCATGGAGCGGTTCGCGTTGATCGATGAACCGTTTTGTGCCGGGACGTTTGGTCTCTGCATCTCTGTCATTATTTAAACCACTGTCACTTGCGGCAGTTCTGCAGCCCAAAGTCTGAGGCACTTTTCTCCCAAATCCAGCAGGAAGGATTACAGCTCCTTCATATAGTTTCTTTCATACAAGCAAAGAGAAAAATCCACTGGTTACAGTTGTGTCGATGCAAAAAGGCACTTCTGTTTTCTGTCTGCTACTAAGACCCTTCTAGTCAATTGCACTTAGTTGAATCACTTGGTTAGCTCGGCTCGATGACTTTAAACTGCGTCATAGTCCCACAGTGGTTCAGCACATTTCTAATGTGCTTTATTCCTAAATTCATCATTCAGTATCTAAAAAAAATAGATGATCCAGTTTGTAGTGGTACAATCTGGACAGTAAAGGAGAGTAATCATGGATATCTGAAATTGGAATGGAAATCAGATTCTTTTTTAACCACTAAGTGAGCTACGTAGCCGGATCCCACAATTTCAGTCGCTGCTAAATCTTTCCAAGTGTTTGCATTTTGTTGGTTATTAGAAGTAGGATGGCTTTAATGACGCCATATTGTTATTTGATGGGCAATGGCCTTGCATTAAGGGTACTTCAATGTCCAAACCCCCATTTTGTTGCAAGGATGGAGGTGGCTGAGGAGTTTGACGTCTGTCAATCTCTGTTTGTTTTTGGGGTAGTATACCATTTCCCCCGTTCTCCAGGCAGGCCTTGGTCCCCTCCAGTTCCATTGGATCTGGATCTGCCGGGCCTAGCTCCAGCTCCATTCCCGCCTTGGCCTGCCTCCTCTTTCGGACACAAATGATCGTCCCGGCCACCACGGCCAACCCGAGCACCAGCGCCAGTGCAGCCAAGGCAGGGATGAGGGTGTATGTCAGCGGGCTCTGGGTCTCCACCCTGGACTCTGTAGACATCCACGGTATCCCTTCAGTACGAGCCTCCGTACATGACCCTGTTTCAACAGAGCTGTTGGTCCTGGAGCTGATTCTTTCCTCCAGGGGACTGGCACAGACTGAGTAGGTACAGTTGGGTAGCAAACCACGCAAAGTGTACTCAGGGTAGGATGCCGGTACACTCAGGATTATGGGGCGGCGGTCAGGCCCTGAGAGGTTACGGTAGGTCAACCGGATTCCCCGGATGTCTGGCCGTGTCTCAATGAATCGGTGCAGGTCCAGAAGGATAGATGTGGAGGTGACGTGCCGTGAGCTGATAGCATCCAGTTCAACAGGAATCACAGGGGCGACTAACAAAACCTCTGAAGGTTTCGGGGGCTCAGGAACCTCCTCCACATTTTCACAGTAGAGGCCAGATGTTCCCGACGGACACAAACAGCTGAGTTGACCTAACGGGTCAAAATTACAAGTGCCCCCATTGAGGCAGATGTTTGGTGGGCAGATGTGCTCCCCTACCTCCCTGTTGGTGGAGCTTGGAGAGACTGGAGGTTCTGGGGAATGGGGGCGGTCTGTTTTTGAGGAGATGGTGGCCTCACTGGGTGGAGGAGGGGGCGGTATGGCGTTGGTATGGATGGTCTCTGGAGATGTGGTGGACACCTGGGGAACAGGAGTACTTCCAATGGGGGAGTCAATCAGCACTGTTGTAGAAGGTGGACACCCAAAATCTTTGTGCTCCAGCGCTGAAAGCATCTTCCCGGCATTAACCAAAGGGAAGTGACATCTGGTTTCCTCAGGACGCCCAAGATTCACATTCTTCTCCTTAAGCCAGACGGGGAACCAAGCTAATGGACACAAGCAGTTAAACGGGTTCTCAGCCGCTGTCAGGTGCACCAGCCTGGGGAAGGTCTGGAAGAAACTCTGAGAAAATCCCTGGAGGTTAAGACCACTTAGATCCAGTTCTTGAAGTCCGATCAGCTTCTGGAAGTCCTCCACCCTCAGATCACCCAATGGGTTGGCAGCCAGGCTGAGCTTGATCAGCCCCTTGAGGGAGTCCTGCTGCAGAGCCGGGGGCACCTCAGTTAACTGGTTTGTGGAGATGTCGAGCTCATGTAGGTTTCCCAGAGAGGCTATGAGATCCTCATCCACAGAGGTGAGCCCAACAGAAGACACCTTAAGGGCCTCCAGGTGCGGGGTCTGCAGGTCTGAGTGTCCCAGGGTTGGGATGGTGTTGTGACTGAGGTCTAGCAGCAGAAGTTTGGGGAACTGAAGGGATGGCAGAGATGTGAGCTGGTTTCGTTGGAGCTTGAGTTCCAGCAGCATCTCTAAACCGTCAAAAGCCTCCGGATGGATGCTCTGAATGCGGTTGGCATGAAGATACAGTCTCTCCAGCTGGACCAACCCAGAGAAACTGTCTTTGGAAATGTGTGTGATCTGGTTAGAGGACAGGTCTAAGTTCTTCAGCTTCAACAGCATCTCAAACACACCGTCTGGAATTTCCACCAGCTGATTCTGGCTCAGATCTAGAAGCTCCGTCTCCCCCAGGCCTCTGAAGTCATCTTGGGACAAAGAGTCGATGCCGTTCTGGAAGATGTATAGATTTGTGATGGAGGTGGGGACACGAGGCATGACGTTGGAGCGCCGTTGAATGCAGAAGATGGAGGCCTGGCCCTGGCAGGAACAGTCAACCGGGCATTCGTAGGATACCACCAGACCAGAGTGGAGGCAGAGGAGCAGGAAGTAAGGCAGCATGGTGACGGCAGGCCTCAAACTCTGAAAGACATAAAGGAGAGAAGATGGTTGGGGTTAATCCCCATTCACAACAGAGGCACAAAGGAAAGTAAGGTGAATGCTATTCTCTATACAATTACTAAAGAAGCTTTGTCTTCTGCACTGATTTAAAAACCATTAAATCCCAGGCTTCTCCGACAATGCAACATAAAATAGTTTTAGCAAAAAAAGAAAAACACATAACTAACGATGCATTAGACATTGTGTCTTTTAGTAAGTTGCTGGAATAAGAAAAACACTTGCAAAAAAATGTGATTGCGGCGTTGTCTTTATCTCTTGCTAAAACATGTCCACACACACACGTTCAATACAAGGGACATAAGCACACTTTTACCCCTGTCTTACAAACAAACAGTCACACACACTGCTCCAACACATTGAATTTGCTGTTTTATATCCTCGATGAGCCCGAGGGATGAGGAACCGCAGGTCGAGGCGACGGGTTACCACAGCCCACCCAGGGTACGCCTGGCTGGGGTCAGAGAGAAACCCGCTCAGCCTGTGTTTATCACACAGTCCGTCGCCCGTGAAACCAAGCCTGCAGCAACGCAGCCCGACAACACACACACACACACACACACACACACACACACACACACACACACACACACACACACACACACACACACACACACACACACACACACACACACACACACACACACACACACACACACACACACACACACACACACACACACACACACACACACACACACACACACACACACACACACACACACACACACACACACACACACACACACACACACACACACACACACACACACACACACACACACACACACACACACACACACACACACACACACACACACACACACACACACACAAACAAACATGGGGTCAGAGCCGTCAGCTGGCAGGCAAGCAAGGGAAAGGAAATTTAGGGGAACTGCAGGTTGAAAAAGGGAGTGTTTGCATGAATGTCATTCATATCTAAGTATCAAATGTAAGTTCGAATCACAGGTATTTTATTAACCAAAATCGTGCGTTCAAGAGCCACTAATGTGAACCAGAAGCAGCCAATGTTGTAAAAAACTAATGTTGGGCTATAAAGGAACTACAGCACGGTCACATGACTTCACGTCACCACCGCTAAGCTAAAGGCGGCTAATGTTGGGCTATAAAGGAACTACAGCACGGTCACATGACTTCACGTCACCACCGCTAAGCTAAAGGAGGCTAATGTTGGGCTATAAAGGAACTACAGCACGGTCACATGACTTCACGTCACCACCGCTAAGCTAAAGGTGGCTAATGTTGGGCTATAAAGGAACTACAGCACGGTCACATGACTTCACGTCACCACCGCTAAGCTAAAGGTGGCTAATGTTGGGCTATAAAGGAACTACAGCACGGTCACATGACTTCACGTCACCACCGCTAAGCTAAAGGTGGCTAATGTTGGGCTATAAAGGAACTACGGCACGGTCACATGACTTCACGTCACCACCGCTAAGCTAAAGGTGGCTAATGTTGGGCTATAAAGGAACTACGGCACGGTCACATGACTTCACGTCACCACCGCTAAGCTAAAGGTGGCTAATGTTGGGCTATAAAGGAACTACGGCACGGTCACATGACTTCACGTCACCACCACTAAGCTAAAGGTGGCTAATGTTGGGCTATAAAGGAACTACAGCACGGTCACATGACTTCACGTCACCCCCGCTAAGCTAAAGGTGGCTAATGTTGGACTATGAAGGAACTACAGCATCATTAGAAAACCATTGACTGGATATGAAGAGATAAAATGCTGACTCATGTCTGTGTTCGGGCCTCATTCCTGCACCTCTCTCTAAAATAACAATAAGTCAAGAGTGGGGGAGACTTAAATATTCAATGTGCAGAATCAGATTCTACAAAATGATAAATGCACGTAAATGTCTTGCAGTGTTCGTGTCAGTTTTACTTTTGTTTTGTGAAGTGATGAGCTAATGTGAACATGTGTTGCTAAAGTCACCAAAGCACTCTGTATTCACTCCGAGACTCACGCCAACAACAATGCACGTCTTGATGCTTCCTCACAATGCAGCGTCTGCAGCCGACCGCAGGCTCCACTGATAGATATATTATAAACCAGTATTACACAAGTGCTTCTGCTGTGACACGGCATCCGACCGCCATTGTTCGGAGTCCATGTCAAAGTTTAAGGACACCCTCTTTGTGTGCTGTTTATAGAGCAGTCACAGGGTTTCAAAGAGACGCTCGTCATTCCTTTAAGGGTGCTGCTGCCGGAGCGATGTGGTGACAGAGCAGGACAGGAATGATTGGAATCAGATGAAATATTAATCACGCTTTAGTCAAAAGAAAAATAAACTAATCATAGAAAGAATTGGCTTCGGACAACTCTTGGAGTCTACACATTGAAATGAAAGTTTGCAAAGCTCTGGATGAATAATCTTTAGGACCGAGTGAGGAAATATTTGCAGCTGGTGTAATCCAGGGGAAATTCATATGGATTTTCAACAATATTCACAACATTAACCACAGAGACAGCATTTTCTAAAAGGCAGCTCGAACAGCAATACAAATTTTAAAAAATCATAGTCATATTCATATTCTGTATAAACGTACAGACCCTGAGACTTGGGCTATATTAAAACAAAAGTATTGATTGATTAAACCTTATAACTGATAACTTATTGCATGATGTAGTGTTTTCTGAACATTTGAAGGTGTAATCTTCACCGAAGGCCCTTGGCCCAGCACACAACTTATAAATGCACGGTAGCTATAATAGTAGATTTACTACTTTACTCCCGATTACTGAAGTTGATATGTAACTGCTTGATTACAGTTCATTGCTGCTGGATTATCTTTGCAGAAGTCTGGGCATCATTCAGACCGATTACTGATAATGACTGTGATTTGAAGCGCGTGTAGCTTCTGATTTAGATGCTGTGATCGAGACATCTTTGTTAGAGACTTGATATTTAGCTCAGCCATGTAAAGGGAAAGAAACCGTTGGAAGTCTAAAGCTCTTAAGCTAAGCAAATGGTCAGGGCGGGGCTGACGAACACAGCTCCATGCCCTCTGCTCGGAGACTGGCTCAGGGTTTGAAATGTGACATGTGAGGTGAGGTGAGGAATGATGAGCTCAATCCGTAGAGAAGTCACTTCCCCAGATGCCTCCTCTCGCAGCATGTTCTCATAACTCACTCCTCTCCGCTCTCTCATGAATTCTTGATTAAACGTGACGGAGGACTTCACGGCGCAGAGCCCACCCTCAGCTATCTGCAGAGCGGAGAGAAGACCGCATGATGGAAGCGAAGCCACACACACACACACACACACACACACACACACACACACACACACACACACACACACACACACACACACACACACACACACACACACACACACACACACACACACACACACACACACACACACACACACACACACAACAAAACAGCTGGATTCCGTTACCCACAATCCACTGCAGCCACTGTGAGACAGAATGAAAGGTCGACATAAACCTGTGTCCTCCCCCGTGATAACAGAGAGGTAGAGTTTAGCTGGTAGCTGGTGACCGCCTCCATCATTTAAAATCTTCTGTAAACACAACCTGACAAACCTCAAGTGTGTGACGAGAGCCAGAGATATGACACAGTGAGTGAGTGACTGTTACTGAGGAAGTCACTTCAGGATATCGCCTGATTTCCAACTATTTTCAAACATTTACACATGATAGATACTGCACCTTAATCGTGCTTTAATCAAATGGTTTACTAGTTAAATAAAAGGGATCTCTTTGATTGATGAGGGTGTTCTCATTCATGGGATGCATGTTATAATAACACACAGTATTTCTCACACACTTGCTGAGGTCAAAGCCCTTTTTTCACATGATTGGCTCGCCTGGGCTTTTAAAGCATGAACCCTGTGCCGCACAATGAAGTCGTGTACATGTTTGGTTCATAACAAGCTAAGCTATCAGCATACAGTATGTGGGCTGCAGGGATGTCACATGGATGTACAAATAGTTACGAGACTATAAATACAAAAGAAAAAGCAAGATGAAAATGTTATCACTCAGAAATGTATTCAAACCCCTCAGGGAAAAGTGGTTTACAAGACATCGGAAAATAGTTATTTCACGTCTTGGTGACCCTGGGAGCCTTAACATGAAGATTAAAGAAATACTGGAGACAGAAACAAACAGAGCCACACCGGGACCTTTGAGGAACTGTTAGATTGTGTGTAAAGGTGTCCCTTTAAAGACTGCACACACTCCTGTCCTCTGGAGAAAAGTGTGCAGGATTATTGGGTGCAGCCTGATGATAAAACCCAAAAGTGTCTCTTACTTCAGTCAGCGTACATCTTGAACGTATCAACATTTGATGTCTGGTGTGTCTTGTGCTTAACCTGCTCTGGTGTATTTGTCTTGTGAAGGAAGGACTTTTCCTTTTCCAGTTTTTAAAGAATAATTAAAAGAATTAAAACTCATGAAAACCAAGAATGGTGAGTTTTGAAGTGCATTGGGATCAAACCAACAGAGGCTGCGATAACAGAGCAACAATCAGATATTGTGCCAAAAAGGCGTTGCTTCACAGGAAGTGAGGCCTTTTCCTTCTCCAGTGTTGAGAGAATAATTAAAACCTTAAGTTACTCAAACTCCTGAAAACCCATCCCGTTTTGTTGGGTTTGAATAATGCGTTATGATGAAGGACGTGGACCTAAGATTTTCAACGACATAATTACTCTGTAGCGATGTTAGTTTGACAATAAAGAACCTTGAACCTTGAAATAATAAGTGTCCATGAACCCATGTTTATTTACTATATACACTTGTTGTCACTGAAGAACTCACAAAAGTAAAATATCAATATAAAAACACGTACAGTGCTGAGGGGAGATGGAGCCAACATCCGCTCAAACAGGGTTACTCCTTTAAGGAAACACAAAGGAATGAGGAGGAGGGGGAGGAGGAGGAGGAGGGGGAGGAGGGGGGGAGGAGGAGGGGGAGGAGGGGGGGAGGAGGAATGAAAGTACAAAGACGGAGACAGGATCATAAATTGTGTTAGGAAGTCGCTCTACAGGGAGATTACTTCATTTTGGTGCAGAAGAAAAAGTGGACGTGAGTTAGTGGTCCGAACCTCAGCACCCCCAAAACTCCCCAAAGTGGAATATCCTGTTACCTCGAGCCGGAGCTTTCAAAACCCCTCAGCCCCAAAAGCTTTGTGTAAGCAGATAAAGTGTGTGTGTGTGTGTGCGTGTGCGTGTGCGTGTGCGTGTTACGCGCAAAGATATAATACAATGCATTAATCCTAAACACAAAAAAAATGTAGGCGCACAACACGGAAATGATGTACAATCTTTAAAGGTCTCCTATTATCCTCTTCTTCATCAATATGTCACAGGTCTCAGATATATCCAGAGCCTGTCTCTGATTGGCTGAAACACCAAACAGATCATTGCAGCATTACCCATAATCCCCTCTGTTTCAGCCCTGTTTCAAAAGCGCTGATTCTCTGTCTGTTATAATATACTGATGAAAAAGAGAACACTAAGGGACCTTTAAGTTGCTTTGATAACTCTTAACCTAATGCAGTCAATTGTCCTCAAAGTCAAGGAAGGATCCTTAACTGCATTTCCAGGAAGCTACATCAACAAATCCCATCTTCTCCAATATCGAGGCTTCTTCAAATGCTGTCCTCCATTCTCCTAAAACACCCACGATCCTCTGAGCACCTTGCACTTCCTGTCCCCCGTTTTACCTCAAGCGTCTGAACAAATTTGAGGCCAGAGACTGTCGAGCCAGCTGCCTAATCGCACTCATTTTGCAACTACAAGACCTCCTTTTAAAGTTAGTTTCTACTCTCCGAGTTCAACGATCTAAACCAGCGCATTTATTCAGACCAAAATATTGAATAAAGCTTTAAAGGAAAAGTCCAAAACATTTCTATTTCTGTTGTCCCTTTGCTTTCATGTCTCAACGCAATAACCCTGTGACATGTGTACAGTTGTATGACATGAATTTAGCAGAGTGAGACGTGTGAAGCAGCGTGCTCAGCCTCAGCGCCCGTTAACACCCGAGTGTGACAACTGGGGTCTAGACTCCAGTGACAGCTGGAGAGGCTCTATATCAGGAGGGACTGAGATGTCTCTCCGTTAGAGTCACTGAAGTGAGGCTGAGGAAGCTGTGCTCAGGACTTCAGAACTCTCTGAGGATGTACACACACAGTAAAACACTTTTTCACGCACCACAGCAGGACATAAATACTTCACACCAAACACAACGGGCCGTGGGAAAGCAGGGACGGCCAAACACTGACAGTACTGATAATACGACTCAGCATGAAAGCCTAATAGCATTCACAAATCTCCCTTGCTCTCTTTTAAAGCTCTTCCCTTTGAAACTGTGACTTAAAGGATCCCCATGTTCCCCACGGTACCTTGAATTAGTGAAAGAAAACTTAAAGGGGCCCTAATCGAATGCTTTGGTGTTCATAAAGGTCTTCCTCATACTGCCTGGGTACTATGAGAATGGTAGTAGATTGGTCAACCGCTTAGAGATGTCCCGCCCCTTAGCCTATCATGTACAATGTGTTGGAGCGCTATAGCCAATAGGAGCGTGAGTGTTCCATAGTGATGTCACTATGTTCCGGAAGTAAACAAAGGAGTCCAATGGAGGCAGGGGGACGCCACACAAAGCAGAATAGGGCCTGTTTCTATCTCACGCATCAACGGGGTATGGAGAATCAAAAACACGTAAGAAAGTCTCGATTAATTAACATCAGTTTACAGCAAAATAAGAAAGACCCCCCATGGTTTATATCCTGTTTAGCACCATCTTATTCCAACCGTTTACTTGATTCTTTCTCTATACACTCAAGATATCACCGCTTGCTTAGTAGTGGTTTTCCCCCATTATGTAAACGTCTCTCAGAACTCTAAGAGTGCTCTCTAAGTCTAATATTAGTATCATCATTATTATTATTATCATTCTCATCTGTGGCAGAAAGACAGCGTGGATCCTTCAGCGCCAGAAAGAGGTGTGATGTTTGTTAAATATAACGCTGTATATCTGTCCTGACTCGTACAACCTGAGGCCTCCCCCCAGGTTGACTGACAGCTGGGGCCCCTGTTGAGCAACGGGGGATAATCACTCAGTAATCAGTCCTGGAGGGAGGGGGGAGATGTACATTAACTTTCTTAAAAGGGCTTGACAGGTAGGTACCCCCAAGTTAACAAACAGCTGGCTGGCACTGTGCCATCTTGGTACCCTCACCAGCAACCGTAAAGCATCATTGTATGCAACTTATAGTTTTTGCATGCTGCTAGCCTTGTAGTTACTCCACAGGTGAGCCGTGTACAGAAAGCTTTCAAAAGTGATACCTTGACATCTACAGAGCACTTGTGAAATGTCCGCATTAATATAGTTTCTCTAGAAATAAAACCACGTTGTACATTTTACTCATACATAATCTGTTTCATATTTAATACTCCATATTCCATATATTTTGAATATATATATATTTGTATATATATATATATAATATCTGCATGTATATTTTATATTTCGACATGTTTATTTTATATTTTATTTTATTTCTATTCTTGTATATTTTGTAGTTTTGTTTCATTGTAAAATGCCTTTTATGCTGCTGTAACAAAAACAATTTCCCAATTTGGGATCAATAAAGTACGATCTATCTATCTATGTTTGCCTGGACATACAGTTTGCAGCGTTGTGCAAGTTAATAAATTGTGTTAATTGGAATTATAGTCTACGGGGCCAAGCGTTAAAAAAGTGGCTTGGCTGATTTGGACTTTTCTGAGTGGTTCTGGGGGTTATTGAGGATGCTGAATCCATTTCGGACATTTTCAGGATAACAAATGGCCGTTTTAACCAGAAGGCTAGGTGTTCACCCTGCTGACATTTCGGGTCGATTTGGAAGATTTCTGGGGACTCATTTGGATTGGACAGATTGCTTATCTGTTCAAAAATAAATTGCCACCAGCAGAGATAATTATTTTCATCTTGTGCTCTCTATATCGAATGGTCGCAACACTCCTCATGGGAGTGAACATAAGTCCATCTAGAGACATTTTTGTATCCTGGAAATGTCAGAAATGGACTCAATAACCTCAATAACGCATGACATGCTCCCCACGTGTATGCCTATGGGCGATAAAACAGACATGCTCTAGTCCTGACTGACTCTCACAAAAGGGCCTTTGTACAATTATTCTAATCAAGCATCATTTGTTGTTATTACTTTATTTTATGATCGCTGTCTGATTGGTAATCTTACACCTTTGTATGTTTCTGTTTTCTTTGAACCAGGAACACGTGACTAACATGTTTAGTAGCCTGACCTTGTGTGCTGTACCATGTGAGCTATGTGCCATGTGAGCTATGTGCCATGTGAGCTATGTGCCATGTGAGCTGTGTGCCATGTGAGCTGTGTGCCATGTGAGCTATGTACCATGTGAGCTGTGTGCCATGTGAGCTATGTGCCATGTGAGCTGTGTGCCATGTGAGCTGTGTACCATGTGAGCTGTGTGCCATGTGAGCTATGTACCATGTGAGCTATGTACCATGTGAGCTATGTGCCATGTGAGCTGTGTGCCATGTGAGCTGTGTACCATGTGAGCTGTGTACCATGTGAGCTGTGTGCCATGTGAGCTGTGTGCCATGTGAGCTATGTACCATGTGAGCTATGTACCATGTGAGCTATGTGCCATGTGAGCTATGTGCCATGTGAGCTATGTGCCATGTGAGCTATGTGCCATGTGAGCTATGTGCCATGTGAGCTATGTGCCATGTGAGCTATGTGCCATGTGAGCTATGTACCATGTGAGCTATGTGCAGTATGTTCATCAATAAAAACTTTAATAACAAAACTAAATAACGCAGGACATGCTATTTGTGCAAACTGCCCAACATACAGTACGCAAGTTAGCATCCGGCAAATTCTAAATACTGGAGAGACATACTGTACATGTGTAGCTACAAGAAACACGTACAAAGAGTCTATAAGGTATAACTTATGACTAAGCTGTCTTTGGTCTTTAAATATCAGACTTCATGAACTCTCGTTTCCACGGAGACGACTAATCGCTCTTATCAGCCAAGATTTGTATTCATGCTAACACGCTTTTTGACCAAAACAAATCAGTGAAAAGACGTGAAGTGGCACTTCTATGATGCTTTGATGGGAAACATGTTTCAGAACCGTGGATTCAATCAATAATCACAGTCAATCCAGTGAGGTTGGGTAATCAATTAGTCTTTTTTATGACAAAACTTAGGAGTACATCTCATGTGAAATGGACTTTTGTACGATTCTTTGTAGAGAAACTGTGCATTAAATCAAACAACCCATTAGTCGACCGCATGTCGTACGAGTGTTCAATTTGATTTCTCTAATCAATAAGTCATTTTCTTCATGCATTACTGCATTATTTCCACATGCATGAACATATCTCTGCTACACACATTTAGAGTAATGCTCTTGCATGATTCAATGTGGAGAGACTTAGTTTAACAGTTTGAATGGTCGATGTGTTCCTGAAGCGTCTGCACTGCGCTCAGTCTGTGGGACGAACACGTGTGTGCAAGGAGGAGAAGGAAAGACACACACACACACACACACACACACACACACACACACACACACACACACACACACACACACACACACACACACACACACACACACACACACACACACCACACACACACACACACACACACACACACACACACACACACACACACACACACACACACACACACACACACACACACACACACACACACACACACACACACACACACACACACACACACACACACACACACACACACACACACACACACACACACACACACACACACACACACACACACACACACACACACACACACACACACAC